TTCGTCACATTCAGGTACACCTATCAAACGTAGATTAGGTCTTTTCACATAGTCCCACATTTCTTGGAGACTTTGTTCATTCCTTTTTACCCTTTTTTTTTCTCTAATTATGCCTTCTTGTTTTATTTCATTAAGTTGATCTTCGACCTCTGATATGCTTTCTTCTGCTTGGGCAATTCGGCTATTGCAACTTGTGCATGCTTCGCGAGATTCTTGTTTGTGTTTTTTTAGCTCCATAAATTCACTTATATTCCTTTCTAAGTTGTTCATTCTCGTTAGCATTTCGTCAAATCTTTTTTCAAGGTTCTTAGTTTCTTTGCATTGGGTTAGGAAACATGTTCTTTTAGCTCATAGACGTTTCTTACTACCCACCTTCTGAAGCCAGATTCTGTCATTTCATCACACTGATTCTCCATTTAGCCTTGTTCCCTTGCTGGTGAAGAGTTGTGATCCCTTGTAGGAAGATAGGTGTTCTGGTTTGGGGTGTTTTCATCCTGTTTGCGCTGGTTTCTTCCTATCTTTATGGATTTATCTACCTGTCATCTTTGTAGTTGTTGACTTTCAGATTGGGTCTCTGAGTGGATGTTCTGTTTGTTTATGATGAAGTTATTTCTGTGTCTTAGTTTTACTTCTAACAGTCTGGCCGCTCTGCTGTTGGACTGCTGAGGTCCACTCCAGGCCCTGCTTGCCTGGGGATCGCCTGCAGCAGCTGCAGAACAGTAAGGGTTGCTACCAGTTTCTTCTTCTGCTATCTTTGTCTCAGAAGGATACCCGCCAAACGTCAGTCTGAGCTCTCCTTTCTGAGGTGACTCTTTGGATATACAGGGGTCAGAGAGCTGCTTGAAGAGACAGTCTGTCCTTTATAGGAGCTCAAGTGCTGAGCTGTGAGCTCTGTTGTTCATTCAGAGCTGCTGGGCAGGTACATTTAGGTCTGCTGCAGCAGAACTCATAAACTGCTTTTTGTTCCCAGGTGCTCTGTCCCAGGGAGTTAGGGCTTTATTTATGAGTTTCCGTTGTGCTGCTGCCTTTTTTTTTTCATGGCTGCCCTGTCCAGCCTGAAGGCAGCCTAGTCACTGTCTGCCTGCCGAGGCTTTGCTGAGCTGCTGTGGGCTCCGCCCAGCTGCCATGTGAACTTCCCTGCAGTCCTGTTTATATGGGCGTAGTTAGAACTGCCTAGGCAGTGGTGGCCTACCGCTGTATTGGTGACTCTTTCTGTAATGGCAGGTTGCCTTGGCAACGGCAGGCTTCCTCAGCAATGGCGGACTACCTCTGTAGTGATGGAGTGCCTAGGTATTGGCAAACACCCCTTCCTCACAGAGCTCAATCGTCTCAGGTTCAGCTACTCTTGCTGTCAAACTCTCAATCCAGAGAGTTTCTGATTGCTGTTCTTTTGTGGGGGTGGGACCAGCCGAGCCTGATCACCTAGCTCCCTGCCTCAGAGCCTTTTTTTTCTTTTTTAGTTGAACAGTCGACTCTATCCCAGGTGTTGCAGTTGCCTGTTGAAACGGCACAGGGATCTGTGTGATTTCCCCTGTGGCGACTCACTGCACAGGCTTAGACAGTGGTACTTAGATTCGTGGCGCTTTTTTTGCCCAGGAATCTCCTGGCCTGGCTCTCTGTTTAGTCCCCTCTTTAATCAGATGAATGGGCGACTTCCCGGGGCTCCAATTGCCAGCCAAAAGGGCACCCGGACCAGTGTATTTTGTATGGAGAACTGCCAGCCCAGGCACTGACAAAGCAGCCGCGTGGGGCAAAGCAGGCACACTGACCAAAAGAACCGTGCTGGCCAAAATGGTCGCACTGGCGACCTGTGGGGCTCCTCCGCCTGGGAATCTTCTGGTCCGTGGGCAATAAAAATGTGGTGTCCACTCACCCTCTGCAGTTTCACTGGGAGCTGCAACTCTGAGCTGTTCCTAAACAGTCATCTTGGATCTTCCGGGTACAGTTAATTTTTAACTACAAATCTTAGTTCTCTTAGATTTTTAAAAAATCTGTTTTTAAAATCTAGTATTCATCTCAAATATCATTTTTTTTGACTAATATTAATTTACTAAATTATTTATTAGTGTCTATGATGTGCCAGATACTTTTTGAACCCTGTGTATGTGGTGGTGAAAAAAAATAAATCAAGTTCCAGCCCTAATGGTTCTTAGATTTTCCTTCTTCCTCTATTCATGCCTTTAAGAATCATTCCTACTAAAACCTTTTTGACTGCACTCACTCATTTACCTTGGTTTTTAATTTATATTTTCCTTTGCTTTTTTTGTACTAGGCACAGGTAATACAAAGATGTGTTAGCAAGAAGCGTATAGATTAATGGGGAAGATAAACATATAAATAGTTGCAGTACAGTTTAGGATTTGACAGAGTGCTCCAGAAGAACAGACAAAGGAATGAATGAGTCGCCCCTATAAAAATTGTTAAGGATCTCACAGAAAAGATGATTTTTTTTCAGGTAGAGAGAATTGTGTATACAAAGGCATGGGAATATGATGGAAGGTACATTGTGGCTGACATTTAGAGAAATGGGAAACTAGAAGCTGAAATTGCAGATAGGAGTTAGGGTCAGAATTTGAAGGCATTTGGATTTTAGGGCATTAAAAATCTCTAGAAGGGAAGTGACATGATAATTATTAAGTACCTGGCACATTATTGGCATTGAATAAATAATTGTTACATGAGTTAATATTAGTCAAAGGAGAATGTTACTTGAGATGAATAACAGATTTAAAAGTATACTTTTTAAAAAGCCTAAGGGAGGAGGTGAGATTTGTGGTTTAAAATAAAATGTATACATAACAAGTGCTGGAAAGGATGTTGAGAAATGGGAACCTGTTCACTGCTGGTGGAAATGTAAAATGATGTAGCTGCTATGAGATGATATTGGGAAGATACTTGGAATGATAATGCATGTAGCTGAGGCTTGGAGTAAAGACAGTCTGGTAAAACAATGGATAAGTATACAGTGTAAGAGGAAGAGCACATCTTTAACTGGTTTGGGGAATGGGAACAAATAGATTTTATTTTGGACATGTTGCATTTGAAATGGGTGCTTTTTTAGACAGTGGAGTAACTACACATGTGTATTTAATTTTATCAACTTTGTATGCTCTCATGAAATTAAATATACTAGTAAGAATGTTATGTATTTCATATATGCTCTTTATTGTGCTATTATGCTTTATTATGCTCTTTATTATTAAGCTATATGTTATTGGTACTTTATACATTTATATTTTTATATATGCTGTTTTTAAGCAATGCAAATAATTGTGATAGGTAATCATGCTTACTTGCAATTTTTTGCTTTATGAGTTGATTTTAGACCCTAAACCTTGAATAAGAGGTACCTCCAGGAAGACTGATCTGAACTTTGAACAAAAGCTTGAGCCAGAGATAGAGTTTGGTAAAATACTAACAACATAGATTGAAGTCCTAAGGGTGGGAATTTCATAGTAAATGTAGTTTCATATTCACAGTGAATATTTCTATATTCATAGCGAATATAGTTATAGTTGAGTATATGTTTTCCCCCATTATATTTTTATGTTTCCATTTGACTGATCTCCCTTGTTCATTTCTGAGCTTCTCAGCAGTCCTTCTCTGTTTATATTCAATATGGTGCTTACTTTGGTTTACTGTATTGACTGCAGTATTACTCAGTAAACATTATTGACTTATCAGCAATTTAATGGACAGAGTACTATTTAGTAAAAGCCATCTTTATTGGATTTAAAATACATTTTAATTTGCTTTACAAAAAAGATTTGAATCTGGTAACTTCTATACATATGTATGTATATGTTGAAAGGAAAAAATGTTTCTTCTATTAATGTTTTCTTTAGGCTTTTGTTTTTCTATACGATGTTAAATGCATTGTTTTTTCTAGTGTATTAATATATTACAGCTTTATAAATGATTCAGGCCTGGGCATGATGGCACATGCCTGTAATCGAAGCACTTTGGGAGGCCAAGGTGGGTGGATCACTTGAGGTCAGGAGTTCAAGACCAGCCTGGCCACCATGGTGAAACCCCATCTCTACTAAATATACAAAAATTAGCCAGGTGTGGTGGCACATACCTGTATTCCCAGCTACTAGGGAGGCTGAGGTAGGCAAATCGCTTGAACTCGGGAGGTGAAGGTTGTGGTGAGCCGAGATTGTGCCACTGCACTCCAACCTGGGTGACAGAACAAGACTGTCTCAAAAAATAAAAAGTAAATAAGTGATTCAGAGAGGGTTATGAGACATGTTGAATAAAGGTAGCATAGGGGTAAAATTGCCTAAAATCTGGATATTAACGTGGGAACAATCCTTCTTGCTCATAAATATGTATTTGTATCATTTATGTAGTGTGAGAAGCTAAGCCATCTGGAAAAAGAAATTGAAAAAGTTGAAAGATACTTGGGTAAATTACTAATGCACACAAGCCAAAAATTATAACAGTGATTAGTCAGTGAAATAACTAACAATTAGTGAATCCTCAACTGAGAAGATATAGAACTGCCACCCTATAAAATTAAAGCTTAAATTTAAAAATTCATTTTTCTCAGTCACACTAGCCACATTGCTAGTGTTCTTTCAGTAGTTGCATATTGGACAGTGGCAAATACAGAGCAGATATAGAAAGTCCTAGTATATTGCCGAGCAGTACTGGTTTAAAACTGTGACTCATTTTCCTTTTGGTTTTCATTTAAATTATTTTGAATTGTATAAGGGTTATCTGAGGAAGAAAAGAAGATTCTTTAGGAAAATTTCGTATTATCCTGAGTCTTCTCCAGTTTTAGCCCTCTCTTCTTTAATTTTCAATCATGTATAATATTGATATCTATTATTTTTGCCAGACATTTAAGTTGTAGATAATTCTGAATACATTTTCCTCCATCCTGTTTCTTTGAAAAGTAATTATATCCTTAAGCAAGCCTAGAATTCAGAGGTCTGTAAGTTGACAGTAAAGTATATCACTTTAAAAAAACTAAATATTTTTTCTTTGACTATTAGGCAAAGTATAAGGAAGTAAAGGCAAGAAATGCACAATTATTGAAAATGCTTCAGGAAGGTGAAAGTAAGTGAATTTTATGTTTTTGTAATTAAAAGTTTATCTTAATATCTGAAGATAACTTGCAAATGTGTGATTTATCAACTCAACAAAATAGTGTTTGATAACACAATAGGGTGACTATAGTTAACAATAATTTGTATATTTCAAAATACCTAGAAGAAAAGATTTAAGTACCCTCAACACAAAGAAATGATAAATGTTTGCATTACCAGGTATCTTAAATACGTATTTGATCATTACAGTTTGTATGCATGTATCAAAATATTACAGGCACCCCATAAATATGCATGATTATTATGTGCCAATAAAAAAATTGAAAAAAAGACTCAACAAAGTAAAAAGGTTTCTCAGAGTGATATAAGCTGAATAACTGACCAGGCGTGGTAGCTCATGCCTGTAATCCCAGCACTTTGGGAGGCCAAGGAGGGCAGAAAACTTGAAGCCAACAGTTTGAGACCAGCCTGGCCAACATGGTGAAATTTTGTATTTTTAGTAGAGGCCAAGGTCTCTACTAAAAATATGAAAATTAGCCACGTGTGGTGGTGCACACCTGTAATGCCAGCTACTCGGGAAACTCAGACATCAGAATTGTTTGAACCTCAGAGGCAGAGGTTGCAGTTAGCTGAGATTGCACCACTGTACTGCAGCCTGGGTGAGCACCATCTCCCTGGACAGACTACCTAGGGGAACGGGTGGCTGTGGGCGCAGCTTCAGCAGACTTAAACATTCCTGCCTGCTGACTCTAAAGAGAGCAGTGGATCTCCCAGCACAGCACTTGAGCTCTGCTAAGAAGCTGACTGCCTCCTCAAACAGGTCCCTGAGCCCTGTGCCTCCTGACTGGGAGATATCTCCCAGTGGGGTCAATAGACACTTCATACAGGAGAGCTCCAGCTGGCTTCTCTCTGGGAGGAAACTTTCAGAGGGGGAACAGGCAGCAATCTTTGCTGTTCTTTGGGCTGCACTGGTGATACCCAGGCAAACAGGGTCTGGAGTAGACCTCCAGAAAACTCCAGCAGACCTGCAGCAGAAGGGTCTGTTAGAAGGAAAACTAACAAACAGAAAGAAATAGCATCAACATCAACAAAAAGGAATTCCACACAGAAAACCCATCCAAAGGTCACAAACATCAAAGACCAAAGGTAGATAAATCCGTGAAGATGAGGAAAAACCGGAGCAAAAAGGCTGAAAATTCAAACCAGAATGCCTCTTCTCCTCCAAAGGATCACAACTCCTCACCAGCAAGGGAACAAAACTGGATGGAGAATGAGTTTGACAAATTAACAGAAGTAGGCTTCACAAGGTGGGTAATAACAAACTCCTGTAAGCTAAAGGAGCATGTTCTAACCTAATGCAAGGAAGCTAAGAACCTTGAAAAAAGGTTAGAGGAATTGCTAACTAGAATAACCACTTTAGAGAAGAACATAAATGACCTGATCGAGCTGAAAAACACAGCATGAGAACTTCATGATGCATACACAAGTATCAATAGCCAAATCAATCAAGTGGAAGAAAGGATATCAGAGATTGAAGATCAACTTAATGAAATAAAGCATGAAGACAAGACTAAGGAAAAAAAAAATGAAAAGGAACCAACAAAGCCTCCCAGAAATATGGGACTCTGTGAAAAGACCAAAGATTGTTGTGACAGGGAGAATGGAACCAAGTGGGAAAACACTCTTCAGGATATTATCCAAGAGAACTTCCCCAACCTAGCAAGACAGGCCAACATTCAAATTCAGGAAATACAGAGAACAGCAGAGATGCTCCTTGAGAAGAGCAACCTCAAGACACATAAGCTTCAGATTCATCAAGGTTGAAATGAAGGAAAAAATGTTAAGGGCATTCAGAGAGAAACGATGGGTTACACACAAAGGGAAGCTCATCAGACTAACAGTGGATCTGTCTGCAGGAACCCTAGAAGTGAGAAGAGAGTGGGGGCCAATAGTCAACATTCTTAAAGAATTTTCAACCCAGAATTTCATATCCAGCCAAACTAAGCTTCATAATTGAAGGAGAAATGAAATCATTTTCACATACAAGCAAATGCTGAGAGATTTTGTCACCACCAGGCCTGCCTTATAAGAGCTCCTAAAGGAAGCACTAAATATGGAGAGGAAAAACTGGTACCGGCCACTGCAAAAACATACCAAATTGTAAAGACCATGGACACTATTAAGAAACTGCATCAACTAATGGACAAATTAACCAGCTAGCATCATAATGACAGGATCAAATTCACACCTAACAATATTAACCCTTAAATGTAAATAGGCTAACTGCCCCAATTAAAAAACACAGACTGGCAAATTGGATAAAGAGTCATGACCCATCAGTGTGCTGTATTTAGGAGACCCATCGCATGTGCAAAGGCACACATAGGCTCAAAATAAAGGGATAGAGGAATATTTACCAAGCAAATGGAAAGCAAAAAACAACAACAACACGGGAGTTGCAATTCTAGTCTCTGGTAAAACAGACTTTAAACCAACAAAGATCAAAAATGACAAAGAAAGGTATTACATAATGGTGAAGGGATCAATACAACAAGAAGAGCTAACTATCCTAAATATATATGCACCCAGTACACAAGCAAACAGATTCATTAAAGCAAGTTCTTACAGTCCTATAAAGAGACTTAGACTCCCACACAATAATAGTGGGAGACTTCAGCACCCCACTGTCAATATTAGACAGATCAACGAGACAGAAAATTAACAAGGATATCTAGGATTTGAACTCAGTTCTGGACCAAGCAGACCTAATAGACATCTACAGAATTTTCCACCCTGATCAACAGAGTATACATTATTCTCAGCACCACATTGCACTTATTATAAAATTGAACACATAATTAGAAGTAAAACACTCCTCAGCAAATGCAAAAGAATGGAAATCATAACAGTCTCTCAGACCACAGTGGAATCAAATTAGAACTCAGGATTCAGAAACTCACTCAAAACTGCATAACTAAATGGAAACTGAGCAACCTGCTCCTGGGAAAATTAACTAAGGCAGGAATCAAGAAATTATTTGAAACAAATGAGAACAAAGATACAATGTGCTAGAATCTCTGGGACACAGCTAAAGCAGTGTTGAGAGGGAAATTTATAGCACTAAATGCCCACAGGAGAATGGAAAGATCTAAAATCAACATCATAACATGACAACTAAAAGAACTAGAGAAGCAAGAGCAAACACATTCAAAAGCTAGCAGAACATAGGAAATAACTAAGACCAGAGCAGAACTGAAGGAGATAAGAGACAAAAAACCCTTCAAAAAATCAGTAAATCCAGGAGCTGGTTTTTTGAAAAGATTAACAAAGTAGATAGACTGCTGGCCAGACTGATAAAGAGGAAAAGAGAGCTGAATCAAATAGATGCAATAAAAAATATTAAAAGAGATACCACCATTGATCCCACAGAAATACAGACTACCATCATATAATACTATAAACACCTCTACACACACACACACACACACACACACACACACACACACACACACAGAAAATCTGGAAGAAATGAATAAATTCCTGGACACATACACTCCCAAGACTAAACCAGGAAGAAGTCAAATCCCTGAATAGACCAATAACAAGTTCTGAAATTGATGCATTAACTAATAGCCTACCAACCAAAAAGCCCAGGACTGGATGGATTTACAGCCAGATTCTACCAGAGGTGTAAAGAGGAGCTGGCACCATTCCCTCTGAAACTATTCTAAACAATAGAAAAAGAGAGTCTTCTTTCTAATTCATTTTATGAGGCCAGCATTATCCTCATACCAAAACCTAGCAAAGACATAACAAAAAAAGAAAATTTCAGGCCAATATCCCTGATGAACATCGATGCAAAAATCCTCAACAAAATGCTGGCAAACTGAATCCAGCAGCATATTAAAATCCACCACGATCAAGTTGGCTTCATCCTTGGGATACAAGACTGATTCAACATATGCATATCAGTGAACGTAATTCATCACATAAACAGAACCAATGACAAAAACCACATGATTATCTCAATAGATGCAGAAAAGGACTTCGATAAAATTCAACACCCATTCATGCTAAAAACTCAATAAACTAGATATTGATGGAATGTATCTCAAAATAATAAGAGCTATTTATGACAAACCCACAGCCAGTATCATACTGAATGGGCAAACGCTGGAAGCATTCCTTTTGAAAATGCTTCCAAGGATGCCCTCTCTCATCACTCCTATTCAACATAGTATTGGAAGTTCTGGCCAGGGCAATCCAGCAAGAGAAAGAAATAAAGCGTGTTCAAATAGGAAGAGAGAAAGTCAAATTACCTCTCTTTGCAGATCATGATTGTATATTTAGAAAACTCCATTATCTCATCCCAAAATCTCCTTAAGCTGATAAGTAACTTCAGCAAATTCTCAGGATACAAAATCAATGTGCAAAAATCACAAGCATTCCTATACACCAGTAACAGAGAGCCAAATCATGAGTGAACTCCCATTCACAATTGCTGTAAAGAGAATAAAATACCTAGGAAGACAACTTAAAAGGGATGTAAAGGACCTCTTTAAGGAGAACTATAAACCACTACTCAAGGAAATCAGAGAGGACACAAACAAATGGAAAAAAATTCCATGCTTATGGATAGGAAGAATCAATATGGTGAAAATGGCCATTCTGCCCAAAGTAATTTATAAATTTAATGTTATTCCCACCAAGCTACCATTGACTTTCTTCACAGAATTAGAAAAAAACTACTTTAAATTTCATATGGAACCATAAAAGAGCCCGTATAGTGAAGACAATCCTAAGCAAAAAGAACAAAGCTGGAGGCATTATGTTACCTGACTTCAAACTATACTACAAGGCTACAGTAACCAAAACAGCATGGTACTGATACTAAAACAGATATATAGGCCAATGGAACAGAACAGAGGCCTCAGAAGTAATGCCACACATCTACAACCATCTGATCTTTGACAAACCTGACATAAATAACCAATGGGGAAAGGATTCCCTATTTAATAAGTGGTGTGGCTAGCCAAATGTAGAAAGCTGAAACTGGACCCCTTACTTACACCTTATACAAAAATTAACTCAAGATGGATTAAAGACTTAAATGTAAGACCTAAAACTATAAAAACCTTACAAGAAAACCTAGGCAATACCATTCATGACATAGGCAGAGGCAAAGAGTTCATGACTAAAACACCAAAAGCAATGGCAACAAAAGCCAAAATAGACAAATTGTATCTAATTAAACTAAAGAGGTTCTGCACAGGGAAATAAACTATCATCAGAGTGAACAGGCAGCCTACAGAATGGGAGAAAATGTTTGCAATCTATTCATTTGATAAAGGGCTAAATATTCAGAATCTACAGGAAACTTAAATTTCCAGGAAAAAAACAACCCCATCAAAAAAAGGGCAAAGGATTTGAACAGACACGTCTCAAAAGAAGATGTTATGTAGCTAACAAATATATGAAAAAAGGATCCTCATCACTGGTCATTAGAGAAATACAAATGAAAACTACATTGAGATACCATCTCACTCCAGTTAGAATGGTGATCATTAAAAAGTCAGGAAACAACAGGTGCTGGAAAGGATGTGGAGAAATAGGAATGCTTTTACATTGTTGGTGGGAGTGTAAATTAGTTCAAACCTTGTGGAAGACAGTTCAGCAATTCCTCAAGGATCTAGAACCAGAAATACCATTCAACCCAGCAATCCCATTACTGGGTATATATACCCAAAGGATTATAAATCATTCAACTATAAAGACACATGTACACGAATGTTTGCGGCACTGTTCACAACAGCAAAGATTGGAACCAACCCAAATGCCCATCAGTGATAGACTGGATAAAGAAGATGTGGCATATATACACCATGGAATACTATGCAGCCATAAAAAGGGATGAGTTCATGTCCTTTACAGGGACATGGATGAAGCTGGAAACCATCATTCTCAGCAAACTAACACAAGAACAGAAAACCAAACACCTCATAGGTGGGTGTTGAACAATGAGAACACATGGACACAGGCTGGAGAACATCACACACTGGGGCATGTCAGCAGGTGAGGGGCTGGAGGAGGAATAGCATTAGGAGAAATACCTAAGGTAGATGACAGGTTGATGGGTACAGCAAGCTGCTATGGCACATGTTATATAAACAAACCTGCACATTCTGCACATGTATTCCAGAACTTAAAGTATAATTTTAAAAAAAGATGTGAAACTATTAAAAATAGTAACACAGTTTTACACATGCTAAAATGGTTAAATAAATAAATATTACATAAATACGGTGCTTTACCTTGAAAAAAACCTGAAGTTTGCTTGTGGGGAGTAGGTCTTGGAAGGGTTGCAGGTTATGTGTTACTGCTTCGTGATGGAATGATTGAAGTTGTCAGACCAGATGGGTGTGGCTCCTAACATAGTGAACCAAGGTAACTGGTAGATACTCAAGGAGTACAGTGGGTGTGGTTTTCTCTGTTCATAATATTGTACTTAAGTGCATTGAAAATGTGTTATGTTCAAGTTGTTACCTAATACATCAACCTCATTGAAACAAATTTGTGTTTTCAAAACAAAGATTATAGGAGAACTGGCTATAATTGAAATATTACATGATTACTAAAAATCACTAGTTTTTAGCAAGTGTTTATAATCCTGGGGATGGACGAGTAGAAAGCATAATTTGTAAAAGCTGCCAAGTTGATTCTTGAGACTGAATTGATTCTTCATAGGGTGCTTCATCTTATTGAACATCATATTAAACTATGAAAGTAAATTTGAACTACAATCTTAAATTCGCAGAGCTGTGTATCGTATCTTATCAGTACTTACATATTTCAACATTTCCTCCTTTGCTAATTTTATTATGGTTTTACCTCTCTAGTCTCTCCTAGTCTGTTTTTAGAGGGAGGAGTTAGTTTTTCATACATTAGCCATTACCATGATTAAGGACATTCTCAGCCATGTGAGTATTTCTGAAGCTTGGTAAGCACAGGGCCAAAATATAGATATCTTGCTTCTCCCAAGAGAGAGAAGCCTCTAGACAAATGAGTAGTTCTAAGAGACCACACATGTCATATGATCATTTGTGATCATGAGCTACATTTAGTTGACAGTGCTTTATTGGTATGAAAAGTCAGAGAATAACAATTTTATTGGCATTATAGTATGCTCATCCCAACAATTCAACAAAAAACACTACATTGTCACCCCGGCTGGAGTGCAGTGACACGATCTTGGCTTACTGCAACCTCTGCCTCATGTGTTCAAGCGCATCTCCTGTCTCAGCCTCCCAAGTAGCTGGGATTACAGGCATGCCACCACCATGCCCAGCTAATTTTTGTATTTTTAGCAGAGACAGCGTTTCGCCGTATTGACTAGGCTAGTCTTGAACGCTGACCTCAGGTGATCCCCCCACCTCGGCCTCTCAAAATGCTAGGATTACAAGCATGAGCTACCAAGGTTGTTTTTAAAATCTTGCTTTAAGATTAGTCAAGGTATTTAAACCTTTTTCCTTATGTGAAATTTATTTTCTTGTATCCTTCTCCTAGAGAAGATTAAAAATTAATCATGGGTCATATTTGTGCAATTTTTAAAATGTATATATTTTTTATTTGACAGTCTTGCTGTGTCACCCAGGCTGGAGTGCAGTGGCATGATCTCGGCTCACAGCAACTACTACGTCCCCAGTTCAAGGGATTCTTATGCCTCAGCCTCCCAAGTAGCTGGGATTACAGGCATGTGCCACCACAGTTGGCTAATTTTTGTATAATATTTTTTAGTAGAGATGGGGTTTCACCATATTGGCCAGGCTGGTCTCCAACTCCTGGCTTCAAGTGATCTGCCCACCTTAGCCTCCCAAAGTGCTGGGATTACAGGCATGAGCCACCACGTCCAGCAATAAATATTTTAACACTATAGAAAATGTAAAATTTCTAAGAAAAAATGCTGTGGTGATAATGATCAGAATTTACTGGTGAAAATGTAAAACAAACAAAAATTTACCAGTGAAAAGTAAGAGCTATACAAGGTCAAGAAGTACATTCTTTAAGTAAGACAAGAAATCATTGTTCTGATTGCACTGCTATGTCTTAGTTCTCTGAAGTATTGTTTTCAACTGCTGTTTTTCCTTTTTTGTCAGTGAAAGATAAGGCAGAAATACTTCTGCAAGTTGATGAATCACAAAGTATCAAGAATGAGCTCACTATTCAGGTAAGGAACTGTGAAGTATATATGACTGGTTTTCTTAAGCTGTCTCTAGTCTTGAATTATTAAACTTGACAAAACAAATACAGCCTATCAACACTGTAAGAAAGTAGTATAAATTATACTTCATTATTATGTGATAGCACATAAATGAAGATTCTGCTTATAGCACTAAAAAAGGTAGATATGTCCTTCTCCCTGAAGAATGGGGGACAGTAAGTTTGTATTTTAATGAACTGTGACTATAGAGACAGAAAGGGCAGATAGAACTTACTCTGTATCCGGGCTTGATTTTTCTCCCCTTTACATCCTTATTGTCGTCTTCTCTCAGGACAGTCAGTTTGCCCCATCTTTAATATAGAGCTGTGTACAATACCAAATGGAAATTATGGGGAGGGTTTCTCCTCTGCTGCTTATCCATTTAGTTGTCAAAAACCTATCATTGTGAATATGTTAAGAATTAGAGTATTTGCCAAAAAAGACCCAAAAATGTCTTTTTATTATTGAATATTTGGTTATAGGTGACTTCACTTCATGCTGCATTAGAACAAGAAAGATCTAAAGTGAAAGTATTACAAGCAGAATTAGCCAAATACCAGGTATGCTTTTATAATTTAGAAGTGTTTTTATCACAAATAATACATTTGGAGTAGATACTGTGTGAGAATAAATGCAGTATTTTATTCTTAGGCCAAAACTTACTAAATATATTGACAGTTTTGTTATTGGTCATATAATTTACAATTTAGAAGATGTTAAAGTTATTCTAGACATTGGTATATACAGCAATAACTAGCATAATTCAGGAAAATCCTTAGTAATACACAGATGATACAGCATACATACCATTGAATCATATTGGGGAAAGGCACAAAAGGATAGTTGTCTTGTTCATAAGGTTGATCACTTGGATACAGTGATACCTCCTAGATAGCTCCATTGTAAATATACATATTTTTCCCCTTTATAATTAACATGTGAGGTGATACTTTAAGATTGTATGAATATCCTTTTCATCCAGTGGCTTTAGCATCCTTTTTTGTTTTTTGTTTGTTTGGGTTTTTTTTTTTTTTTTTTTTTTGGTGATTGCAAAATAGTGATTTTCTAACTCTTACCTGCATTTATAGGCTAGCATTCAGCATTTTGTTCCTGGATGAAGCAATTAAAAATACCAGTGCTTTGTCTGTCTGTCTGTCTCTCTCTCTCTCTGTTTCTCTTTCTCTCTCTCTCTCTCCCTCTGTGTGTGTGTGTGTGTGTGTGTGTAATATATATTTATGTGTATATATATGTTTCTAAATTATATAAAATACATTAACTGGGATCATAGCCAAAAAAGCTCAAAAGCCACTGATGGTGTCGAGAACACAGCAGTTGATTAGCCCTGGCTTTAAATTTTAATCAGTCCAGGAAAGAGAATTCCTTTTACCTGAGAGACCTTGAAAAGAATTCTTGTGTGCTTGTTTTGGATTTTTAAGAAATCCCATCAAGAAGCATGGTAGGAGTTTTATGTATAGGGGGTATCTACTTCAAAAAATATTTTTGCTAAATTTATTTTAATTTTTCTGCTACCAGGAAATAAATCTTGTTTTTAATATATGTCATTACACATCTTATGTTCCAAAAAACCTATTCATACTGTTTTTCTCTGAATAAATCTTGGGAGAATTTTTATATGGTCAGAAGTGAATGACAGCATTATTGTACTCGAGTATTGTTTCATTTTGTTTTATAATGTTGATGTAGAAATGTTTTTGACTCCGAGAGAGGTGATAGTCAGAAAAACAGTGAAAGAAATGAAGAGAAACTGCCATCATTATCAAATGAGTCTGGGTTTGCCCATAATACAACTACTTCTCTTTAAGAAATGCACTTGCACAGAGAAAGTAGTTCCCAAACTTGGCTGATCATTGGCATCAGTTGGAAACTTTGAATTACAGATTGTTAGCCAGTTAAATAGGTGTGGGACAAAGGCTAGATGTCAGAATTCTAAAAATAGTACTGCTTAGGTGATTCTCATGACCAGCTAAGTTTGGATACCATTGTAAAAGTTTATAAAATGGGAAAAACTATGCATACAACTATTATAAGGTAAATATATCAAACAATTATTTATGGTTAAGTTGAAGGGGGGTAGAGTAGCTATTGATGGTTTTATTTGTTGTATGTTTATACTTTCAATATTTCTACGAACAAGTATTTGCTTTTTAAATCAGACTAAAACAGAAGATGTTATGCTTATGTTAAAAGTTACGTAAAACTCTTCTTGTCGTTTATGGTGCTCAAGTCAAATACCATAAGTGATGTTTCATATGGAACAAATTAAATACATCTTATATATGCAACTGAGCAATATGAAAAGCATAACCTAGTTTTCAGTCCACTAATGAACAAAATCAAATTTCTAATGCTAGTATGAGCAAAACTAGACAGAACTTGAATTATAAATTGAATTACCCAAAAGGTAATGAACTGAATTAGTAAATTTGCTGATCATATGGAACAAATTAAGTGTATGGTTTATTTTAGTATTGACCTAAAACTATTTTTTAAAAAAATTCTGGAACAGTCAAAATGAGCTCTATAAAAATAAGATACCGGTAATCTTACCTAAGGCAAGAATTACTCAAATAGAAGTAACTTTTCTAAAACCGACTTAAACCATTTATAAAAATAACCATATTAAAATAATTTAGTGGTGTGTAGACTCAAATTTACAACAAAATTAAAAAAGAAACTGCTTCCTTCTCATGCCCCAAAATGCCTTTAGTCTATATTCTTAAAATGAAATGGCCCCAAAATGGTGTGTCCTAAATAATTTGCTCTATTTTTTTTTTTTTACAGGGTGGCAGAAAAGGGAAAAGAAACTCTGAATCTGACCAGTGTAGGTGATTACATTAGCCTTTGATGTCAACACAAAGTTTAAAACTTTCAAGATTTTGCAAAAATGTATATATTTAATGCTGTGCAACTGCTAAACTATACAGTTTTTGTTGAAGGAACTAAAAGCAACTAGCTCACTAACAGTCTATAATTTTATTTCTTTTGGCTTAAAGTGAAAAAGAAGAAATAGAGAATTCCAGCAGAAGTCAGTGGTTATTGTTTACTATCCACTTCTTATCACTTTAGTTTTTCATCAGTCAATAAAATTAATTTACTCTTCCACTAATATGTTTGATATGTTAAGTTTCAGAAATGTGAAAGTATTTTTGCTTACAGCACAGCCTATCAGTTAGGTGAGTATTTTCTCAACACTTTCTGCACACTAAATCCTACAGGACATGCAAGATGAAATATGGCTGATACCCTCAAGTAGCTTATGCTTGGGTGAAATAGAAGGTGAGTGGATAGGCCAGGTGTGGTGGCCAACACCTATAATCCCAGCACTTTGGGAGGCCAAGGTGAGCAGATCACTGGAGGCCAGGAGTCTGAGACCAGCCTGGCCAATATGGCGAAACCCCATATCTACTAAAAATACAGAAATTAGCCAGGCATGCTGGTACACACGTGTAATCCAGCTACTCAGGAGGCTGAGGCAGGAGAATCGCTTGAACCTAGGAGGCAGAGGTTGCAGTGAGCTGGGTGACACAGAGAGACTCTGTCTCAAAAAAAAGCAAGTCGGGGGTGGGTAAAACAAGCAAAAAATAATTACTGTAGATACAAGAGTGTGAAGTCGCACTGTTTGCAGATTGAGAAAACTTGCATGAGAGTTTTTAGAGGATAGATACTTTTTCTGTATATTTGTTGGCAGGCATTCCAGGCAGACAGAATGAAGAACAGTCTGTAAGCTGGTAATGGTGGCTCATGCCTGTAATCCCATCACTTTGGGAGGTAGAGGTAGGAGGATTGCTTGAGCCCAGGAGTTTCAGACCAGCCTGGGCAACATAGTGAGACCCTGTCTCTTAAAAAAAATTAAAAAAGCCAGGCGTGGTGGCCCATGCCTGTAGTGCCAACTACTCAGGAGGCTGAGGTGCGAGGATCACTTGAGTCTGGGAGGTCAAGGCTGCAGTAAGCTGTGATCTTACCACTGCGTCCTGGAAGACAAAAGAATTAGGGGCAGGCCACACCTGCAATCCCAGCACTTTGGGAGGCTGAGGTGGATAGATCACTTGAGCCCAGGAGTTTGTAACCAGCCTGAGCAACATGGTGAAACCCTTTTCTATAAAAACTAATAATAAGTCTATGAATGCTTTCACCATAAGGGCTGGGAATAGAAAGAGTACTGGTAGCTGGGTTTGGTGGCTCATACCTGTAATCCCAACACTTTAGGAAACTGAGGTGGAAGGATCACAAGCCCAGGAGTTTGAGACCAGCCTGGGGAACATAGTGAGAACCCATCCCTACAAAAAAGTTTTGAAATCAGCCAGGTGTGGTGACATGTGCCTGGGGTCCTAGCTACTTCAGAGGCTGAGGTAGGAGGATTGCTTTGAGCTCAGAAGGCTGAGGCTGCAGTGAGCCATGATTGCAACACTGCACTTCAGCCTGGGCAACAGAGCAAGACCCTGTCTTTTTAAAAAAAAAAAACAAAAAAAAAATTGGTGTGTAGGAGGAATAAATGAGAGATTTTTTTCACTGGTCTAATCAATTGGTAGAATAATTAGTAGTTTGTGGGATTCAGTTGCTTTTAGTAGAAGCAGTAAAATGCAATTATGATATATTAAAATACTGGATTGTAGGGCGGGTGCAGTGGCTCACACATGTAATCCCAACACTTTGGGAGGCTGAGGCAGGTGGATCACTTGAGGCCAGGAGTTCCAGACCAGTCTGGGCAACATGGTGAAATTCTGTCTCTCCTAAATCTATAAAAATGAGCTAGTTGTGGTGGGCATGCCTGTAGTCCCAGCTATTGAGGAGGCTGAGGCACAAGAATTGCTTGAACCCTGGAGGTGGAGGTTGCAGTGAGCTGAAATCACATTACTGCATGCTAGCCTGGGCAACAGAGCAAGACTGTCTCAAAAAAAATAAAAATACAATACAATTTTGTGTGTGTGGTAACAAAGATGAACACATAAATGCTGGTTTTCAATGGAACAGAATAGGTAACCCAGAAATTAGTCAACACACCTCCAACTATCTGATATTCAACAAACATAACAAAAATAAGAAATGGGGGAATGATTCCCTATTTAATAAACAGTGCTGGGATAACTTGCTAACCGTATGCAGAGAACAGAAACTGGACCCCTTCCTTACACCATATACAAAAATTAAGATGGATTAAAGATTTAAATGTAAAACCAATAACTTATAAAGACTCTGGAAGACAACATAGGCAATACCATTCTGGACATAGAAACGGGCAGAGATTTCATGATGAAGACACCAAGAACAATTGCAAGAAAAGCAAAATTTGACAAACAGGATCTAATTAAAGAGCTTCTGCACAGCAAAGGAAATTGTCAACAGAGTGAACAGCCAGCCTACAGAATGGGAGAAAATTTTTGCAAACTATGCATTTGACAAAGGTCTAATATCCAGCATCTATAAGGAACTTAAATTTACAAGAAAAAAACCCCATTAAAAAGTGGTTAAAAGACATGAACAGACACTTTTCAAAAGAAGACATACATGAGGCCAACAGTCATAGGAAAAAGAGGTCACATCACTATCGTTAGAGAAAGGCAGATCAAAAGGCAGATACCATCTCACACCAGTAAGAATTGCTATTATTAGTCAAAAAATAACAGATGCTGGTGGGGTTGTGGAAAAAAAGGAATGCTTATACACTCTTGGTGAGAGTGTAAAATAGTTCAATCATTGAGGATGACTGGGTGGCGATCTCAAATAACTAAAAACAGAAATACCATTTGACCCAGCAATCCCATTACTGGGTATATACCCAGAATATAAATTGTTCATGCATATGTTCATTGCAGCACTATTCAAAATAGCAAAGATGAGGAATCAACCTAATGCCCATCAATGGCAGACTGGATAAAGAAAGTGTGGTACATAACACACCATAAAATACTATGCAGCCATTAAAAAAAAAAATTGTGTCCTTCGCAGAAACATGGATGGAGCTGGAGGCCAGTATCCTTAGCTGACCAACCCAGGAACAGGAAACCAAATGCCTCATGTTCTCACTTATAAGTGGAGGGCTAAATGAAAACACATGAACACCTAAGGGGAAACAACATACACTGGGGCCTACTGGAGGGTGAAGAGTGGGAGGAGGGAGAGATCAGGAAAAATAACCAATGGATACTAGGCTTAATACCTGGGTGATTTAATAATCTGTACAACAAACCCCTGTGACACAGTTTACCTGTGTAACAAATCTGCACATATACCCCTGAACTTAAAACTTTAAAAAATGCTGGTCTTGGCCTCCAAAACCAGCATTATATGAAAAATTCCACTTCATGACAGTCTTTGAAGAAAAAAATTACAAAGGTAATGAAATTGTCATCACCTATCTATGTCTGGCCTCTCCCATGAGGTTATAGGAACATTGCAAATAATTCAATCTATTATTTCCTATATTCCCAGTAGCTAGTCTACTATGAAGTACAGAGTAGGTGCTAAAAAAATATTTAACAAAATCATAAGGCTTTTTAAGATCGTTATCTCCCAAGTTTACCTTTGGTTAAGAATAGGTAATTAATGTATTAAACGTGTGGTAGTATTCCATGGTAACAAATTTTTCAAACCAATGATAAAGATTTCTAATGCTGTCTTACATAAACAAGAATAGAACTTGTGTCAGAATTGGTTCAATTGTAATTTAATTATCCAAGTTGTTACTGACCTACATTGTCAAAGCACACTATGTTATCACCTGCTTTTGATTATCTACCTGCACATTATCCATTTGGTACATTATCTAGCACCCTAGTACAATGGCTGATTCATAGACACTCAACGGATATGCCATTTTCTACTCATACCTATTGGTTTAAAAATCACCTGGACACATAGAAAATTCTTCATTGATTGTTCTGTGTTGGGCATTCCTAGAGTACTGTATTCATAGCTCTGGCCTTTGCTCCTGAATTATTCTCTTTCTCTCTTTAAATTTAAATTTTCATTTTTTATAGACAGGGTCTCACTCTGTCACCCAGGCTGGAATGCAATAGTGCAATCGTAGGTCACTGCAGCCTCTGACTCTGGAATCAAGCAGTCCTCTCACCTTGACCTCACAAATATCTCGGAGTACAGGGGCATGCCACCTTATCAAGCTAATTTTTTTTTATTTTTATAGCGATGAGGTCTTGCTGTGTTACCCCAGCTGGCCTCAACCAATCCTCCTGTATTGGCCTCCCACAGCAGTGGGATTACACGCATGAGCCACTACTCCTGGCCTGCTCAGTTATTCTTCCTTTATTGATGTATTCACTCCTGTGGCTTTATTAATTGAGTCTAGACCAATATATCAATTTCTTCATGGAAAACTTTAGTAAAAGAAAAGATAGTCTGGGCGCCATGGCTCATGCCTGTAATCCCAGCACTTTGGAAGGCTGAGGCAAATGAATCACCTGAGGTCAGGAGTTTGAGACCAGCCTGACCAACATGGAGAAACCCTGTCTCTACTAAAAATACAAAATTAGCCAGGCGTGGTGGCACAAGCCTGTAATCCCAGCTACTCAGGAGGCTGAGGCAAGAGAATCACTTGAACCTGGGAGGTGGAGGTTGCGGTGAGCCAAGATTGTGCCATTGCACTCAAGCCTGGGCAACAAGAGCGAAACTCCATCTCAAAAAAAAAAAAAAAAAAATAGAAAAGACATTCAATGGTCAATTGGTGATTTCTTTTGTTAATTGATTTCTCATACATTCAATTTTAATAAATATCATTACTTAGATTCCTCTCAGGTTTCTGAATGTTGAATGAAATTATTGATAGTTCATTATGTGTCAGGCATTGTGTTAAATATTGGAGATGCAAATATAATGAGACATCCTGATACGGTGTCTGCAGTCATTTGGACGGAAAGAAATGTAAAGAAATAATCAGAAAATATTCTAATAATACTAATATGTTCACACTGTATTATAAAAGAAAATACATCTTACTGTTTTAAGAGGTATTTTAGACATTTAATTATTTCAGACTCCATTAATGTCTTAAAATGTGATTATGGCAATATAGTAAGATTCAGCAAATATTTACTTGGGAGGCTGAGGCAGGAGAATAACTTGAACCTGGGAGGCAGAGGTTGCAGTGAGCCA